CCGAGGTGGGAAGAGAACTTATGGGCTAAGGATGAGTATGGGTAACAGAAAAATGCGGGTTTTACAATCCTAATTATGACTTCAAATTTGGGATCAGAAAGACTCTGATCGTAACAAGTCTGCGTCTGACAAGAGTTACTTTTCCGTGACAAAAGAAAATTTACTTTCTTTGGTGCATTGCTTTTATCATTAATTTTTCTCACTTGTTTCTCACTTGGAAATAGAAATAGCTTTTATATTAATTCAAATTAAGAAAATTAATTGGATAAGAGTAAAGTATTGCGAACCGTTAACTGTGGGCTTTGCGCTTTTAGTTAGAAGGAGCATGCGGGGATCATGAAAGGGCATTGAGGGTAACAAATCTATTTCAGGCAGCCAATTACAAAGAATTGAAAAGTTTACGAGAAACATTGCTTTAGACGAATTATTCATTAGGCTACTTATTATTAATAGGAAATGTATTCAACCAATTTCGCTTAAGGTGATGAAGGACTGGTAGAAGAAGAATTTTCCCACAATAATATGAGTTGAGCTGAAATTCAATGGAAATGTCAGCTCAACTCATATGATTGTGGGAAAATTCTTCTTCTACCAGTGCTTCATTAGCTCAAACGAAATTGGGTGAATACATGTCATACTACTGATTTACTGACAGTCACGAAAACAATACTTAATTCGAAAAATATTTATTATTATTCTCAAAATTATTCGTTGGAATTAATTTCCAATCCCTTTTCATTATTAACAATGCAAAGGTAATTAATATTAATTAATGCTAAGAGGATTGCATTAATACATTAATTGAGAGATAATGAATAATGAGAATATGGAAAACGCATAAATGTGGGTTTTACGATCTTACTTAAAGTGGTAAAGTAGGGGTCATGAAATCACGCAGCTTAATACGTCTGCATTAAGCGGACTTTACTTTGCAGGAAGAACAATTTGAAGAGTTGAAACATTTTTTATTTTCAATTATTTATCAATTAGGCTTAGTAATATTATAATTTGTTGTTGTGATGAATTTGCCATTATTGCGAAATATTAAGAAATAGGTTGGAGAACAACAGGCTGTTGGATAACTCGAATGAATGGCGAAATCGTAAGATTACGGAAATAACACTTCACTGTTTACTTTTCAAACAGTTCACGGCAACTTTTGTTTCCTCTCTTTAGATCAGCTGGCTAAAAGACTTTGTATTCATGCTATATAGCCCCTCATCGAGACAGACGTATCGACATGACCAGGCATAGAAAGACATGTGGACTGAAAGGAGTGCAAAAAATTAAGAAGGATCTCGCCTTGGTTGGCGGATAAAATCGAGGAAAAGGAGGAGGAGAAAGAGGTGAAGGAGCTGGATGAGGCGAAGAAAAGGACGAAGTAGAAAAAGAGGAAGAGAAGGAGGAAGAGGAGGAGGAGCACGAGGAGAAAGAGGAGGAGAAGGAGCACGAGGAGAAAGAGGAGGAGAAGGAGCACGAGGAGAAGAAGAAGGAGGAAGAGAAGGAGAAGGAAGAGAAGTAGGAGAAGGAGGAGGAGGAGGAAAAAGAGAAGGAGGAGGAGAAAGAGGTGAAGGAGCTGAAAGAGGCGAAAAAGGGTAAAAGAGGACTATGAATAGGACGAAGAAGACAAAGAGGAAGAGAAGGAGGAAGAGGAGGAGGAGGAGAAGGAGGAGTAGGAGCAAAAGGAGGAGGAGGTGGAGGAGAAGGAGAAAGAAGAGGAGGAGGAAAAAGAGAAGGAGGAGGAGAGAGAGGTGAAGGAGCTGGAGGAGGCGAAAAAAGGGTAAAAGAGGAGTATGAATAGGACGAAGAAGAGAAAGAGGAAGAGAAGAAGGAAGAGGAGGAGCAGGAGGAGAAGGAGGAGTAGGAGGAGGAGGAGGAGGTGGAGGAGAAGGAGAAAGAAGAGAAGGAAGAGGAGGAGGAGGAGGAGAAGAAGGAGGAAGAAGAGAAG